CACCTGCTTGCCTGCCTGATTGCCCCTAACTGCTTCTGCCTACCAGCCTGATCACCCCTTAAACATCCCCCTGCCAGACTGATCAACACCTAACTGCTACTCTGCCGGCCTAATTGTCCGTAACTGCCCTCCCCTGCCTGCCTGGTCGCCCCTAACTACTCTCCCCTGCCGGCCTGGTCCCCCCCAACTGCCCTCCCCTGCAGGCCTGGTCCCCCCTAACTGCCCTCCCCTGCAGGCCTGGTCCCCCCTAACTGCCCTCCCCTGCAGGCCTGGTCCCCCCAACTGCCCTCCCCTGCCAACCATCTTGTGTCCACATGGGGACGGCCATCTTTGACCACATGAGGGCAGCTATCTTGTGTGTTGGAGTGATGGTTAATTTGCATATTAGCTTTTTATTATATAGAATTATTATATAGGATACTACAATTCTTAATAAAATGTATTGAGGTTTACCAAAGTTTATTAACCTTAAGTATACAGGTTAATAAATTTTACTACCTCCCTCTGTAGTAGGCAGTTAGCCAGACATGAGCAGAGCAAGGACAATGGGCCAAGTGCAGAAGGTCTCTGGTGGGGAAAGCCCCGGAGCCTAGCAACAAGAAAAAACTGGGAAAACAAGGACCTCGCACCGAGGGTAGCCTTTCTTCCCCTACCATACACTGGTCATTTGGTTTAGACTCCCTGACCTTTCATGTCATTGGTCAGGTGGTCCTGACCCTGCCCTGACCTCTCCTCCCCTGGCATGTTGGTAGTCATGTAGGTTAGACCCCCTTAGAGGGGGAACAAAAATCAGTGCCCATGAACAGCCATTAAATATTAAGCCCCCAGGACAATGAGGTTCTGACCTGCATCAGACACATTTAGGCCTCAGTTGTGTTTCAGCTCCAGGCCCAGAAAAGCAGCAAAACCTCAGGACCAGTTTTGTTGACGAATGACCCCCTGCCCTGGGGCCCATCCATCAGTGGAAACCACGACCCTGAAAGGACACACCTGGAAAGCTGATGGACATTCTATTGAGGTTCTCCCCTGGGACTTCCCCTAGAATCTCCACCCTTAAGAGCCCTTAGGACTGGAGGACACAGTGGTTCCCCCTCTCTGGAGAAAGATCTATTCAGAATGTTTGCCTGTGGTTTTTGTTGTTGTTAATCCTCACCAAAGGATTATATTTTTCCATTGATTTTCAGAGAGAGAGGAAAGGAGGGGGAGAGCCAAAGAGAAATATTGATATTAGAGAGACACATGCATTGGTTGCCTCCCACATGCGCTCTGATCAAGGCTGGGGATCAAGCTGCAACTAACATGTATCCTTGATTGGAATTGAACCCTGGACCCTTCAGTCCGCAGGCTGACACTCTATCCACTGAGCCAAACCAGCTAGGGCAGCCCTTCTTTTGCTTCTGTAACTTGTTTTCTGAGCACATTTCTTCTACAGCTCAGTTCTTCTCCCTCTGTAACTTTCTGAATAAACTTTCTCTGATAGTCTGAGTCTTCTCTCTGAATATTTTCTTAGCCAGAACTCAAGTACCCAGGTTCAATCGTCAGTAAAATTCTGGTGTCCTTTTTGCTGCCATCACCACCTCCAGAGAGGAGCACTATTCTGACAGAAAAATCACCATCTATGAGTATTCTTTTGCTGAATTTCATATAAGTGGATTTGTCCATTTCGTCATTGTCAAATGTGCTGGCATGAATTGCTCAAAATATCCTCTTATATTTTTCCTATCAGTAGGTTCTGAAGGCTATGCCCTTTCTCATTCTTGATATTAGTGATTTTTCATTTCTCCTTCCTCTTGATTGGTCTTGTTAGTGTTTCATCAATTTTATGTTGCTTTTCTTTGTTGTAAATCTGCTCTCTCTTTAAGCATTTCCACTCTTATTATTCATTTCCATCTATATTTGTTGTAATTTAGTGCTCTTTTTCTATCTTCTTAAAACAGAAGACTAGATAACTTCATTTCAAATTTTCTCATATCCAGTTGTCAAACAAAGAAACAACAGACAAAATGGAGTCAATTCTGCTAAGCTAACTCACCAAACCAAAACTAAATAAGTAACTGCAGTTTCTGACTCTCCCTGGAGTCAAATTTTTAAACCAATTAGTCTGAAATTTCCTGGTCAACACTGAGGTAATCTACCTAATAAGATCTCTCACCTATTTACTTGTGAAAATAATCCACTCTTTTAACTTCTTAGTCCCACCCACTTTCTGCCTACAGAACTATTTCCATTTTGTTCAACTCAGTTGAACTTTCTAGTTGCCAAATCGGATGCTGCCCAATTTATGGATTGCTTAATAAAGCCAATTAGATCTTCAAATTTACTCTGTTGAATTTTGCTTTCACAATTATAAATTTTTCTCAAAGGGCCAGATAGCTGCATCCCACACATTTGGCTATGTCATATTTTCTTTACTGATCATTGTATTTAAGATATTTTCCAATTTCTATTGTGATTTTTTTCTTTCACCTATGCATAATCTGACTTCTTGTCTCATTACTCTATCAATACAACCTTCGCTAAGGTCACCAATGATTTGCTTGTGGGTAAGTCCATTAGACTTTCTGTTGCATTTTGACCTTTAAGCAGCTGAGGACACTTTTAACTACTTCCTTGAAGTTTGGGCTCTTGGCTCTGCCGGAGAAGAACAAATTTTCCTCTGCTCTCAAGGGTCTTCTGGCTGGTCTAATAATCAAATAGACATGAGAAAGATTAGTAAGAAAAAATAACCAAATTTAATAGACACAAAGACCCCACATGCATATGAGGTTCAGAGATAGAAAGGGGGATTAGCCCAACCGGTGTGGCTCAGTGGTTGAGCTTCAACTTATGAACCAGGAGGTCATGGTTCGATTCCCAGTCAGGGCACATGCCCTGGTTGTGAGCTCGATCCCTGTGGGGTATTCAGGAGGCAGTCAATCAATGATTCTCATCATTGATGTTTCTATCTCTCTCCCTCTCCCTTCCTCTCTCTCTCCCTCTCCCTTCCTCTCTGAAATCAATAAAAATATATTTTAAAATATAATAATAATAAAATTTAAAAAGTAAAAGATGGGGGATTAGCCCTAGCTGGGTTGGCTCCGTGGATTGAGTGTTGGCCAGCAGACTGAAGGGTTCCAGGTTCAATCTAGCTCAATCCCTGGCTCTTGTTGGGGCATGTGGGAGGCAACCAATCAATTGACGCTCTCACATCGATATTTCTCTTTCTCTCTCTCTCTCTCTCTCTCTCTCTCCCTTCCACTCTCTCTAAAAACCAATGGAAAAATATCCTCAGGTAAGATTAACAAAAAAATAAATAATCTATACTAATAAAAGGGTAATACGCTAATTAGACCGGGTCCACCAGACATCTTCCGGTTGTCCTGCCTTCCTTCCGGACAAAGCCATGGTGGTGGGGGCTGAGGTAGACGCGGTTAGGGATAATCAGGTGGGCAGGGGAAGGCAGTTAGGGTTGATCAGGCAGGCAGGGAGAGGGGTTTGTAAAATGTTTTTTCTGCATCTATTGATATGATCATATGACATTTATCACTCATTTTGTTTATTGTTTATGTGGTGTATCATGTTAATTGATTTGTGGATTTTGAACCAACCTTGCATCCCAGGAAATAGTGTATAATCTTTTAAGTGTATTGCTGAATTTGGATTGCTAGGTAGAGTAGCCTTGGTTGTAGATCCTTGCTTTAATCACTTTGAATATTTCATGCCAATACCTTTTAGTCTGAAATGTTTTTGTTGAGAAATCAGCTGACAGTTTTATGGGAGCCCCCTTGTCGGTAACTAACTGCTTTTCTCTTGCTGCTAGAGTCTATTCGTGTTTAACCTTTGCCATTTTTTTTTTAATATATATTTATTGATTTCAGGGAGGAAAGGAGAGGGAGGGAGAGAGATATCGGCTGCCTCCTGCAAGCCCCGCAGTGGGGATCGAGCCCACAATCCAGGCATGTGCCCTTGACCGGAATCGAACCTGGGACCCTTCAGTCCTCAGGCCAACGCGCCATCCACTGAGCCAAACGAGCCAGGGCTCTCTTTGCTGTTTTAACACCCGGTTTTCAGTGGAGGAGAAGTACTATGTCCTCCACTCAGAAGAGGAAGACGCTGCTCTTGCTGTTCTACTTAAAGAAGACCCGGCCCGGCTGACGCCAGCGGGCCCCGCGCCTGGCACTCAGACCACCTCCCCGGGGTCACCGCCAATTAGCTCTGGCGCGGGCGGAGGGCAGCGGGGCCGTGGGGGGCGGGGGGGGTTG